TGGTCCTCAGAGGAGCAGGGCAGTGTTAACAGAGGCAACAATGCTATGGCAGCGAGTTTTCCGGGCGAGACGAGTCAAGCATGCATCATTCACGCATCCCGAAGCGGGGCTGTGGCCACCTTCTTTTTGCATTTAATTTGTTAATTAATTAGAAGTTCTGTAACAATTAATTTAGTGTTATTTATTCGAACTGTAATATTTATTCGGACCCTCCGAGTGAGGGCAATTGTGTAATAAGTGTGCGTGAGTGTGCATATGTCTCCCAACCCCACGTCTTTCTTCCCTTTTATTTACTAGCTTTCGATGGTTAGTCTAGGGCATGTTTCAATTAGCATACAGTATGATAGCATGTTTGCATCTATTCATCAGTATTGCATGCACCGGGCTCGGCGCATCACGCCAACTACATAGTATTTCAAATCAAACTTGAATACATGTTATTTGTCGTATCTCACATGCCATCTTAGAATAGCCGAGCCTATTGTAGTTGCATCTTGTATGTGTTGCATTAGCCATCTTAACATGAGCTAGGATCATGCATTGATTACTAACTAGCTTTTGTTTTGGCTCGGAGTACTAGGTAAGCTTTTATGCTTTAACATCTTGCATGAGTGTGAGTGTTTGCCATGACAGCATGATTACCATGAGGCTACGTGCTTACGTGTTATAACTGTCTAAATGCCTGTGGGTGAAGGTTGGGTTACTTAAATTGGAACAATGCATTGGATGCGAATTTTAAGCCCACTTGAGAGTGGCAAAACCATATTTTCTAAGCCCACTCGAGGGTGGCAAAATCCATGTCTTAGCCTACTCACGGGTAGCACCATCAAATCATTCTCAAATAAATAAACATGAAATATTTTGTTCCAATTTAGGCAATTTGATCTATACTTGTTTGCTGTGCGCATAACATAGTAATTATAGGCTAATAACCGGAATAAGAACACATAATGCTTTCAAAACAAGATATCATGGTTAGTAGAGGCCGATCTTCGGATCGGGCGAGAGGGGGTGCTCATAGCTGACCTTCCCCGATCATACCCAAGTTCCTGAACCGATGTAACTTTGGTGATGACGGACACATGGCCTTCGGCACTGAGTCAGGGTTTCCTAAATTTTCCAAAATAAAATATTTAGGTGGCAACTCTGTATCTGGAAAAGCAGTCCATGTTTGGCACTTCTTTTCTAAAAATCTGTTTTTCAAAAAAACGATTTGCCGGATTTGGACTCTTTGGTTCAGATTAAGAACCGTGACAATTTGAGAGTCCGAACTGTAGTGAACCCAATACGAATGGAACGTGACTCATCTTCCCGGGGCATTCGGGGACGTCTATAGTTTCTGGCGACTCTGCTGGGGATTTTGGAGAATTTGACTCGAACTCTTGATATCCTGTTTTGATTTCACTTATGTGTTTCTTTGCATTGCATGTGCATTGGTGCGCCTAGGACACCGTATTTGCCATCTGCTATTCCTGAGCGGTTTGCCAGAGGCTTGCCTTATCAAGGCATGACCATAAGGCTGACCGGTTGCGGGCTCTGCCAGTATGGGAACACAAACCCCGGTTTTTACCGGGGCACCCCTTTTTGACCATTCGACCTAGTGCATATTCGGAATCTATAGTGACCATTCCAAGCTAGGACAGGTTGCTTACCCGATTATAGGTTGTTTGAAACCGCTGCGTGCGTAGTAAAACCCTAATTCCTGACAAAATAGGACAGGGAAACCCTACCCCCAACATAGGGGTGTTTTGGCTCTCACTTATCTGCTATGTGCTTTAGGAGTGTGTCTCTACAGGGATGCGTGTATCAGTTTGCAAGTTTGGGCATCAGGCCTGCGGGCGCCAGTTCAGTGTTTAAGAACCAGTTATTTGCGGGTATCAGGTTCAGTTTTGGGAACAGTGATTCGGGGACAATAATCAGTATTGAGGAGCAGTGTATTTAGTTTATCAATCATGTGTTGTGATACCCGACTGTGTGTTGTGTGTATTTATTGTACGCTGTTATGCTGCCCATTTGTCAGGTTATTTATTTCCTTATTGCTTTATTTATCTTCTTGCTAGGTAGTTTAGCACGATTGCTTCTGACCCAGTAGATATCCCCAAGCACTTTGGACTAGAGGTCGCCGACTCAATCGATCTAAGGATCTGGTTGATGGACAACCAGTGTTTTATTCTCTACTCTCGATTATCAGACCAAAGCCGAGAAGACGCAGTGTGTCTGAGTAGAGATCGCCCGAGCAGTGGTCGACCCTACCAGTGGACAATCAGGCTGAGGTCTCAATTTTCACTACAGAGAGGGAATATATACCAGTAATTCAATCAAAACAAAGCAGTATGGCAAGTTTAGAGGAGATAGTGCGCCAGCTCCAGGAGAGCATGAAAGTTATGCAGCAAGATGTTGTCCGACAGGCGGAGTTCGCCAAGCAACAGGCCACGTTTATGACTGAACAAGCAGAGTTAATCGTAAGACTACAGCAGCAAGCCGGGGCATCTGCTTCACATCAAGCCCCTCCCCCACCAAGGGTTCCGATACCTGAGGAGACACCAAATGTTTAAAATGTCCAAGAGGATACTGACATTCCAACGGGCCCGGCTCCGCCCCCGATTCCACCGCAACTATCCAAGGCGCCCACGCCTATCAATGTACCCGACTCTCCCTTCGAGTTCGAAATGGACCCCACAGCACTGAAGCTGAGTAAGCTGGAAAAGATGTTTAAGAAATCCTAAAGAGTCAAGTCCATTCCCGACATTGAGGACGGATATACGGACGCAGCTGTGACGCCGCCCGATCGGTTCAAGATGCCACAAATTGACCGATTCGATGGGTCCGGGGACCCCATGGTGCACCTGAGGTTGTTTTCAGTTATCTTAAGGCCGATGGGCCTCACCAGACTACAAAAGTTGTCTCTATTTGGCCGGACCCTGTCGGGTGTGGCGGCCATCTGGTACGCCAAATTAGAAGATGACGTCAAGAGAAACTGGGATGAGATGGCTGAGGCCTTCATTATGCAATACTCATATAACACGTAAATCGAGATTACGACCCGTGACCTCAAGACGACAAGGCAGGAGCCTAAGGATGATTATGCGCAATCTCCAGCCTAAGTTGATGCAGAAGATGATTGTGCTCCCCTTCCCTACCTTTTAAGATTTGCATGAGATGGGAGTACAGATTGAAGATGCCTTGAAGCAGGGCTTAATTGATAACGACCGGGAGCAACCCAGAAGAACTTTCAATCGCAACAACAATGCTGGCCCGAGTGGTGTTACAACTACAAGAACCTCAGAAGTGAGCGTGGTCACCACCATCCCCCCTCCCCCTCCCCCTCCAAGGACCGTGACAGCGACGCCATTCTCCGGCGCGTCCGGAAGCAATACACAAACAGCCAAATACCAACCCAAAAGCCAAAGAGCCTTCGCCCCACTATACATGTCCTTGTCCAAAGTTTTAGGGGTTTCAATCAGAAAGGGGCACCTAAAACCCCTAGAGCCGCGGCCATTACCGGAAAAACTTCCCCCTACCCATAACCCAGCCAAATATTGCGCATTTCACCAACAGCACGGTCATGACACCGACCAATGCTACCGATTACGTCATGAGATTCAAGATCTCATCGATAACGGGGTTATCCTGCCTCAAGAAAAACCCAATGTCACAACCCACCCTCTCCCTCCACACAACCAAGCTCCACCTCCCAAACGTATCAACTTCATTCATACTGGGGTCATGTCTTACGATCCTAGCATCTACATCACTCCTTCCCACCTACCTAAGCCGGAGGTGTTCCTTCCCGACTGCACTGACTTGTGCATGTTGGACATCTCTAGAACCCGACCTGATAATTACCACACATGCGCGCACTGCCGCCACCGTCCGTCAGGTCGGGCGGGCTGGGCCTGGACTTGGGTGCGTGGTGTGAGGTTGGGTTGGGCTTATTCGGCCTAATACTTATCTTTTTGGGCAAAAAATATTTGAATTTAATTTATTTTTTGGTAAAATAAAATCAGACCGTTTAAATTTAAATATGTCCAAACCTTCTGTACAGATTTTAAAATCTGTCAGAACAGTTTAGTTCAAGGAAAACCCTTACCTGTTTGAATTTAAATTCAAACATATTTAAATTTATGAAAATTCAAACCGAACATGTTGAATCTGTTTAAATAGTGCCGAACAGGTACTATATCTGTTCAAAACAGATTTTCTACCTGTTTGATTCAAATTGAAAAGCCACCAAGTCATCTATAAATAGGCAGCCCCCATTTGATGTTTTATTCACAATTTTCGTACTTCTCCTCTGCAAATAATCTCTGTATTTTGCTGCATTAAATTTCTGTGAGAAAGAAGTGTATACACGTATGTTTGTTGTGCGAATAAATTGTAGTACTGCATTTATTCGTTATTGATCATTTTATCCTGTAAGATAGACGTTCGTATATCTGAAAGCACCGTGGAGAGGACGAATCTGTCTTAAAGATACAATGTTAAACACTGGACTTGATCAAAAAGTTTGTTCAAGAAATTAATCAAGCAAATTGTTAATTTATTTTCTGTTTTATTTTTATTTATTTAAATCAGATTTTGATTTTGTTTTTTGTGACAAGATAAAAATCTATTTTATTTATTTTATTTTATTTTTTCTGGTTTGATTTTTGTAATTAAACAAATTCTCTCATTTTCTTTTATTTCTTCTGTACTCTGTTTGTTGTTAAATACATAAACAAAATTTATTTTTCAAATACAGTGAAGATTGTCCAACATTTTTTTGTATTTTGTATTTTATGTAAGATTTATTTTTCTACTTCTATATATAAATTTTTGAGAGTTTATTGACAGCCTTTATCATTGAAACCTTTAGTCAAAGTGTTTTTTTGTTAGTCCTTTGTACTAGAAGAATTTTTTTAAAACATTCACACAATATATATATATATCTATATAACATGGAAGCTCAGTTTTTTATTCTTGATGGGACTTTTGTCCCTTTGTCAATACATAGACCATTAGATTAAATTCAATCCAATGGCTTGCAACGTTTTGAACACACACAATACAGATCTCTTTGTCAACACAGATCCCCTCTCTCTCTCTCTCTCACACACACAAACACTCCTCTTTCAAATTTTGAAAACAGACGCTTAGAATCTCTCTCTCTCTACATCACTGTCTTCATCTTCTCTCTTCCTTCATCCCTCAGAACCGCCACAATAAACCCATCTCAATTCCTTTGAACCGCCCCAAAATTCTTTAACTTCGCCGGTGGCTGAATCCGAGCTCTACAACTAGCGTGGCTCTGGCACAGAGGTAATGAATTTCTCTCAATCATCCAAAAACCAAAGTCAGATCTGTGAACCCTCCTCCAAATCCACAGAGGTAAAGAATTTATTTGTTGTTTAATCATTTATAAATTTGTTGATTTTCTTAGTTGTTTTCTCTCATATTAATCAAGAGCTCTGGTTTTTGGAGGAGGGTTCACAGATTTTTTGTATAGGTGTTAAACCCTTAATTTGTTCAAAAACCAGAGTTTTGTATCATCCAAAAACCAGAGTCACAGTTTTTGGATAGGTGTTAGATCAAGAGCTCTACAACTAGACAGTTTTTTAGTTTAGAGAATTTATAATTAAACATTCTTGACAGGACCACATTTACCAGTTAGTAATTTTTGGCTGTGTAGGATGTTTTCAAATTCAATTATACAGTCATTAAAATTTAACAGTAATTTCATTTCAAAATGCCCAAATTTTGGTCGCCTTAGAGTGCTTTTATTTAATAAAAAAAGAGTGGGTTGGAACAACATGTTCGCATGTTAATGATATGAAAGAAAGTGGAATGGTTTCTTAATAATTTGATTTTTTAATTCTGCGTTATTAAAGATTGGACTTTTTCTCACTTCCTTCTGGACATGTTGATTGCTACTTGCATATTTTGAAAACCATGTCGTATTTGTGATGTATATTAGAATATGTTTGAATCTCGCATTTTTTGTGTGTGTGTGTTGGTATTTTGATAAATTAAAAGACTCTTTCGATGAATTATAAGTTGAAATTAAAACTATCAAGGGTTGATGTCAGAACTAAGTGGCTTTCTTCCAAAATCTTGATCCTGATTTCATTAGAAAAACTTGGTTAACTGTTAATCTCCTTAAAATTGCAAAAATCTTGATCTAACACCATGTAGTAATGATTAAAAAGATTATGTATTGTTGTGTACTGAAAATCTATGATAGCATGTTTTAGAGTATGTTTTTCTCAACTATTAGGGATGTATCTTTATGTTTACAAACAACTTGAACACCTGGGACATTTATGTTTTTCTCAACTATTTGGGTATTTGGATTGATTACTGAATAATTGTGTTTTTTGTTTTTTGCTACTATTTTCTTTTCTCTTCTTTCTTTCCTTTCTTTTACAATGTGAACCGTTAGATTGATTCAATCCAACGGCTAAAAAATGTCCAAGAGGCAAATACATTTTCAATGGTGGATTTACAATGGTGAGGAAAAAAATGTCCAATAGACCAATACATTTTCTGATTAGGTTTCTTCTTCCCTTCCATCTCTCTCTCTCTCTCTCTCTCTCTCTCTCTCTCTCATTCAAAATTTAAAAGTGAGTTGTCTCCATCATCTTACTCTCAGAGCTCACTCTTCATCTTCAATCTCCCCCGAAACATAGTAGATCGGCGACTTCGCAGGGGTGCTAATCGGCAACTTCGCATTGGAGAGTTTGTTGGGTGCTAATCGGCGACATCGCGGCAACAAATCAGTGAGGTTCTCCAAAATCTTTTGTTTGAGGTTCTCCAGAATCTGTAAATTAATAATAGTTGCACTTTATAACATTACCAATTTTTTTTGAGCGTCTCTGTAAGCCAATAAAGTTGTATCTGATCATATTATGTTTGATGGTAATTTTATGTGATTAGGCTGCAGAAGCTTTGATTGTGTGATGGTAATTTTGTGTCTGTCAAAAGATGGATTTCCACAGGTACTTTTGAAGCTTTGTTCTAGAACAAAACTTATAGATGATGTATTGCAAAACTTATCCTAAAACTTTTGACAGATTTTTGAAACAGATTCAAATTTCAATGGAAGATGGATTTCCAATACTTTTTTGCTTTTTACTCTTTTTATAGATGTATAAGAGCTTTACCAATCTTTCTTTCTTTCTTTTTTTTCAAATTTGAGTGCAAATTTAATTAAAAGCTTTATATGATATGAAAATTTGGCTCAAATTTGAGTGAAAATTTTGTTAAAAGCTTTATTTTAATTTGGAGTTTGGTACTATTTTGGTAGACTTGTGTCTGTAGCTTATATAGCTTATATTAGGCAGTACTAATTTAATTAAGTTCAAAAACTATTGATTATCTAAAAGCAGGGAGAGAGTTGCTTTAACTCATGGGTTGGTTTAGGAAATGGGTTGGTTTTTGAATTTTTTTTTTTTTTTGACTATTTTAGTATGGGTTTAAAAAGTTTTATTTGGGAATATTTTTTTTTGACTTTTTTTGATTTTTTATGAGAGAAAGAATATAATGATTATGAGATAGACGTGAACTAAAAGACTTATTTTATTTATTTATTTTTTTTTTAATTAAAATAACCCTAAACCCAACCCTACCTCTCTTCTCAAACGAAGCCTATGTGATTTTAGTTTCTAATAATCTAAACCAAATAGGGCTAAAAAACACACCAACCCTTAACTTTTCTTTCTTTTTTTTTTTTTTTGTTTGCATAAAATCTTATGAAAAGTTGCAAAACTTATCCTAAAAATCTGTTTTAACCATTTTGAAAAAAGAAAACCATCTTCAATCCTTAGTCCTTTTAAAATTTCATCAAAATTGAGAAAAATTATGAATTTTGGAAATTTGGCGAAGGAATTTGCTCATCCTTGATTTAGAGAAAAAATTGCCTCTACCTTGATTACAGATTTGATTAAATGGTTGAAACGCACTTTTAGCCAAATTTTCATCCAATTTGAATTTTATGAAAAAATTTGATGAATGATTTGAAGATGCTCCAACTCGAAGAACAAGGTTTCCGTTTTAATCATTTTGAACTGATTTTGGTTTAGTTTTTGTTCTTTTTCATGGGTAGGATTTTCCTGTATTGACGTCTGAAATTTCAGGCCCTGTAATGGGAGCATTGTTTAATTTGTTTTGCTCCCACTAACAAAAATTCTGAACTTTGTTCTATGAAGACCTGGTTTAGGGGAGTAGCCATAGAATGCAAATATGAAGAGAGATAGGAAATCTAACCCATAGTTCAGTTATCCTAATTTGTGTAGAGACTAGAAATAAAAGTCCTGAATTGGTTGCTAGAACTGAATACCAAAATCAGTTTGATGGTTAAGCCTACTTCATTAATACCATGCAAACGTTCCAAAGGCATACCATGTAGTGAAATACAATAATTGCTGCAATATTTGAACTTGATAAAGCTAAAGCATTTTAAGAAATGTGAATTTGAGAAATTTTTTGATTGATCGGTGTAAGAGGGGTTAACTTGAGCCCATTGAATTCTAACAGATATGAACAAGGTAGGTGATCACGTAATGGGACTAGCAAGCATTATATTTGCAGTGGTGTTTGATACAATTTTACTTTCTTAAACTAAGTACAGTATTTGTGTTGTTGCACCATTTCTTACTTGCATTATAATCTGTCCAGCCCTTTGTTTTTAATGAAACCAACCTTGAGTCAGTTTTTCTCTCTCATTATGGGTGATTAGCAGCCAGATTTTTTTTGTTTTTTTTTTCTTTGAAGTCACAGAGATCATCAATTGATCATTAGTAGAGTAGAGAAAAAACGATTCCCAAGATTAAACTGTGAGTATTGTTTTTCTTTAATTTTGGGTACACTTTTATGGGTTTGATTTTTCTTATACAGATTCCCAAAATCAGCCAGATAATATACACATTCTATTTTTCTTATACACATTCTTATACAGATAATATATACACACGAAACCATTCTATATCGTATTGATTTTTCTTTAGTTACTCTATTGAATTTATACTCTATCAGCCACATAGTATTGTTTAGTTACAGATAATATGTACTCTATCAGCCACATAGTATTGTTTTGTGCAACTATTGTATTGAGTGGTTGTTGTGCCATTAACCATTCTATAGAGTTACCCATTAACCATTCTATATTCCTTGCTTATTAAGTGTTTGATAAAATGTTTCAATAGAATTTACACACAACAAATCCAATTGATGGTATCCTCTCTCATATATAGATTTTTCGGTTTGATTTTGTGGAGAAATGGGAATCATCCCAATAATTTTTTAACTTGCTTTCGGATAATGGGAATCATCCAACTACCAATATTATTATTCTCTTGATTTCTACTTCTGGGTCTGTGTTCTGTTATTTTTTTGCGATTTTTCTATGTGGGTTTTTTGAGTTTAGGCTTAAGTTGCAATGATGTTGTGTATATTTTTTCAGATTCACTTGCATTTTTTCTTTGTTAGGAATAGACATCATTTCTTTACTTGCATTTAGCTGAACCTTTCAGATTCACTTTTCATGACACATAAGCATTCAATTTTGCTATAGAATTGTTGGCTATCTTATTCAACATTACCTTTGGTCAGGTAACTAATTGCAAATTTTGCTAGAAAGTTGTGGCGGTTGTTTTTTATTGTCAAATTTTGGATATTCTATAAAATGCCTCAATTAAAATAGTTTATTTTCTTATATAATTGTACTTTTTTGTTGTTCAAATAGTGAGTGAATCTATCAAGCCAAGTAAATGACTAAACAACATTTCCTACAGAGAGTTTGATTAACCATGCCTGAATGCACTTAGTGCTGGTAATGTGAATGTCCTAATTGATCAAAGTTATCTTATAGTTTATTCTACATGCCCCCCATAATTTATTCTACATCCCCCCCCCCAACACACACGTGCACACACAAAAATAGTGAGTGAATCCATCATAGTTTATTCTACATTCCCCCCAAATAGTGAATGATACATGCCTTGGATATTTGGTAAGGTTAACAAAAATATAGGTATATTCAAATTGGTGAATCAATCAATGGGAGTTGGATCTTATTTTTAATAATAAACAGTGGGCAATTTTTAGGGAGTTGATTTTATATAATGGATAGTGGATAATGGAGCTGCCTTGGCTTGAAAGTGTGTTTGATTAGCTCATAAAAAGTTGTTATGGCTTTGTTTGCTACAATGGTTGATTAGGTAATTGGTCTGCCTTCCATTGATGGATTTGCCAATAATTTGTTGTTTATCTATTGTTTAACTTGGCTTCATTTTTACTAGCTAGGCTTCATTTTATATGTTGGCTATCTTCTGGATTATTAGCTATATGCAGTTTATGTTTTTTGTTCAGAGACGGTAGAGAAGCAAGAACCAAGAAGAGCGAGTACTTGATTTTTTTATGCTAATAATTTGGGTCTTCTATTTTAATTTTTGAATTTCATACTATTTTGATAATAATCATTGTGATAATTTTTACTGCAATTTTAAAAATTAGCATTGTTTAGAATGCCTTTATGTTTGATTTTATTGTTTTTCAAAAACAAGATGTTTTAGTTTGTTTTGATTAGACTTGAAAAATTCAAGTTAGACAATGAATGGAAGTGTTGTGTGGGTCTATTAGTGAATGTTTCAAGAAATGGAGAGTAATGGCACAACGGCCCATTTAACAAGTGAGCCTTTTTTTTTCCTCTCATTTTTTATTGAATGTTTCAAATTTTTATTGAATGGGTCTATTAGTGAATGTTTCAAAAAAATTTTTTTTTGGTTGATTTTTCTTTTTCGGCTGTTTTTATTTTTTATTTATTTTTATGTGTCTCTTTGTATGTATTCACTATGTGATTTGTAAAATGGGTCTCCAAAATGCCTCAAAATTTTTATTTGGGTTTTCGTTGGGTGTCTAAATTTTTATGTGATTTGTTTCTCATTTGGGTTTGATTGTGTTTCTCATTTATATTATGTGATTTGTTTCTCATTTAGGTAAGACTTCGAACTCGCTGTACAGTATTTTTTCCCGATCGTTGTTGTTGATTATGTTGTGTTTTTCCCTTTCTCTGCTCTTGCCGGTAAGATTTATTCACTCTTCGTTGTTTGCCTTTTCACTTTCTCTGCTCTTGCCTATAATTTTGATTTGTTGTTTAAATTCTGAATCCTGAAGGAGTTGTTTGGATTTGTTGTTTTGTTGTTTGATATTAATTTTTGGTTTTGTAGTTTAGGTGTCTGATTTTTGTGAGGGTACTTTCATTATCCCATCTATGATTTTTGTGGGTACTCGCAATTGCTTAGCATCAAATTTGTTTGATCTGTATTGAGCATCAAACTATGAAAATTAACTCTGTAGATCTTCCTTAGTTTTGCTTCTGTTACTATGAAAACATTTTCTAATTATTAGAGCCTGTACATAAAACATTATTTGGCTTGCATAGGCAAATACAATGTTCACATGTTCTTAAAGTCATGCCATCATAACTGCATCTTTTTCACTCAAGTTTAAGCTTCGAGTAACTCACTTAGAGACCAATTAAGTTGAAAAACTAACGATATATATTAAAAATTGAAACAGATAGTTCAGGGAAAGCTACTATTGCATATAAAGTTGGTTTTGTAATAATTGTTTACATTGGTTGTTGATATATATTGTCTTGACATCCTATACTAAACTAACCTCCGTCAAACACATTGAAAATAGTAGGTATGGGTTTAATGATTAGAAAACTGGTTTGTCTACTTGCAGTGTAGTATGCTTAATACATATATGGTTGTGGTGATAGTGAATGAACACCACTAATCATATTGGTTTCCAATTTTGTGTAGAACACCATTAATTGTTAGTCTTCGTTACTTTTTAATATGGAAACTAGCTTAGAATGTTATTCTCTGCTTCTTCTTTTTTTTTTCATTACCAAGATAAATTCAATTTGTTGTCAATGGTGAGTTGGTTTTGTAATAATTGTTTATGTTGGTTGTTGATTTAGATTTTTTTTTTTTTTTTCCTATTAGTTGGTGTGCTTCTTTTATTTTTATTTTTTTTGAAGTACATTAGTTAGTGTCGTTTGGTTTTATCAGTTGATACTTCTAATACTAATACAATTTGGTTTGGGGCCTACCTTGAATGTGACTTTTTATTTTTCTCATATTTTTCTTTCCTTTCCAAATTGGAAGTAAGTTTATCTTCCCTGTGTTCTGATTAATTTAGGAAAGGTGACTACTACCGGTATCTCGCTGAGTTTAAGACTGACCAGGAAAGAAAAGAGATTATTCTTATGAGATTATCTTGCTGGTATCCAACTTCTCTGTCTTCTATTATGAGATTATGAATTCTCTTGAGAGGTTATTCTTAATTCCTACGTATCTGGTGTCATAACAAACAATGGGCAATTTTTAAGGGGTTGATTTTGGATAATGGAGCTTGCTTGCTTATATTTTCTATTCTTCCTTTTGTTTCAGGTACATATGCCTTGGCTTGAAGGAGTGTTTGATTAGCTCATAAAAGTTGTTGTGACTTTGTTTGCCGCAATGGTTGATTAGGTAATTGATCTGCCTTCCATTGATGGATTTGTCAATAATTTGTTGCTTATGTATTGTTCAAATTAAGAATCTGAAATTTTTATTAGATAGGCTTCATTTACATGTTGCTATCTTCTGGATTATTAGCTAGGTTCAGAACTAAGAAGAGCGAGTACTTGATTTTTTTATGGTGATAACTTGGGCCTTCTATTTTAATTTTTGAATTTCATACAATTTTGATGATAATCATTGTGATAATTTTTACTATAATTTTGAAAATTAGCATGGTTTAAAATGCCTTTATGTTTGATTTTGCTTTGTTTTGATTAGACTTGAAAAATTCAGGTTATACAATGAATGGAAGTGTTGTGTGGGTCTATTAGTGAATTTTTCAAGAAATAGAGAGCAATGGCACAATGGCTCATTAAACAAGTGAGCCTTTTTTTTTCTTCACAATTTTATATCTTTGTTTGGGGAACTAGAAGTGTATTTATGGAGTTTCTTTTTACTGTAATTTTTCTTCTTGATATAGGTGATTTTGGGGGTGGAAGAGAAATTTAGATCAGGTTGATTCAATAGAATAACTTTGCCTACTACTTTTTCCACACCCTATAACTTTACCAGTGCTTATAATCAATTAAAATTTTCATTTTAAAATTTAAACACTGTAGGTACAATTGTATATTCATTTTAAAATAGATGTGACAAACAAATATGATTATAATAAATTAAAATTTTGATTGGAGGGGTTAGAGTTAATTTTTTTTTCTTCTTCCCTTTACCCCTGTGACTCTTAACTCAATATATTTTAGTTTTATTGGGTGAAAATCATTTGTTATTTTGTACAAGAGTTGCACATGTTCTTTCCTTTCTTTCATTTTTTCTTTCTTTCTTTCTTTCTTCTCCTCCTCTCATTTTTTATTTTATTTTCAGAGTGAGGATTGTAAGTTGTGATAAATAAATAAATAAAAAAGGGTAAATTACAAACATACGCCTTGAGATTTACTTAAATTACAAATTACCCCCTGTGGTTCTAGAAATTACATTATGTGCTCTAAGGTTTCTAATTTCCTAATAAATATGTCCTTTTATTAATAAATCATCAAGTTAATTAACAATTTTTAATAATGTTAAAATTTTATTTCAATTAATAATTTAGATAATTTGATTATTGTATAGGTGAACAGTTAGAAATTTCACTTTTTCAATTATTTTTGTTAAATAAAAAATTCTGATTTGCCAGGGGTGTATTTGTAAGCAATTCGTATTTTAAGCAAACCTCAGGGGTGTATTTGTAATTTATCCAAAAAAATTATACTTTTAGCTTTGCCAGTTTTTTTGTAAGACTATAAACAATGCTGAGGTTGGCTCAATGAGGTCTATAAAGAATTTGTAAAAGAAAAACAGTAAAGAGGTCTAGATTAATAAAAGTCAGTTTTAAGCCAATTGGTTGTTTCTTTTTTTCTTCAAATATTTGGTTTTGGAACTAAATTAATTTAGTAGACCATCTATGTTATTAGTTAGTCATCCTGGAGTAATGAGTGATGGCATAAACTTACTTTATGCTTGAAGTAGTTTAAACATACTTTATACTTTTAATTGGATGATTATGCATAATGGTACCTCATAAGTGAAGAAGAAGGTGGTTTCACTTTCAACCCTTAATGTTGGTGAAGTGCTCTCTTAAATGTTGTGGGCAAATTCTTGGTGATTGATTTGGAGTATACAACATGTTATCAATCACCTAGAAAGTGAAAAGTATGTAATCCCTTTTTTTTTTTCCTTTTTTTTTTAGTAGGCAAGTCAATTGATTGGTTTGAGGCAAATGTGGTGTTGGGTACGAGGTGAGGAAAAGCTGTGAATTTCATGTAATAATTTTTTGAAATGGTTTACATTTTAGAAACCTATCTTCAAATGGGTTAGATTTAAATGTGTTTTTGAATGGTTTTGATTCCAAAAATATTAAAATGATGAATGAACTAGCACAAGTATTTGGTTGTAATCTTTGTTAAAAAAAATAGTACAGTTAATTTTATTTAATGAACCTCGGGTTTAATTTTAGTTAGATTTGTCCATTAACGTTAATTTCAAGTTTGATTCTTTTTTTGTTGCCTATTAATTGTTATACATAATGCTTCAACTAGAAAATGAGTTGTGCATTATCACAGGGATAGAAACTCAAAGGAGCATGATCATCCAAAAATAGATACTTCGCACAAGGTAAGCTTTAATTGTTTAAAATTTTAATTTTGTTTGGTTTTACAACCTTCAAAAATTCTTCTTCCTTATAACAAGACTCTCTTAGTCGTAATAAAGAAAATTATTTGCTCCCCTTACAAAATTTGAGTTTAATTCTATTTGGAGGTTTGTATGATTTATCGGCATTCTCAATTGATCCTTCTATACTATTATTTGCTTTTCTATATAACATGGAAGCTCAGTTTTTTATTCTTGATGGGACTTTTGTCCCTTTGTCAATACATGGACCATTAGATTAAATTCAATCCAATGGCTTGCAACGTTTTGAACACACACAATACAGATCTCTTTGTCAACACAGATCCCCTCTCTCTCTCTCTCTCACACACACAAACACTCCTCTTTCAAATTTTGAAAACAGACGCTTAGAATCTCTCTCTCTCTACATCACTGTCTTCATCTTCTCTCTTCCTTCATCCCTCAGAACCGCCACAATAAACCCATCTCAATTCCTTTGAACCGCCCCAAAATTCTTTAACTTCGCCGGTGGCTGAATCCGAGCTCTACAACTAGCGTGGCTCTGGCACAGAGGTAATGAATTTCTCTCAATCATCCAAAAACCAAAGTCAGATCTGTGAACCCTCCTCCAAATCCACAGAGGTAAAGAATTTATTTGTTGTTTAATCATTTATAAATTTGTTGATTTTCTTAGTTGTTTTCTCTCATATTAATCAAGAGCTCTGGTTTTTGGAGGAGGGTTCACAGATTTTTTGTATAGGTGTTAAACCCTTAATTTGTTCAAAAACCAGAGTTTTGTATCATCCAAAAACCAGAGTCACAGTTTTTGGATAGGTGTTAGATCAAGAGCTCTACAACTAGACAGTTTTTTGTTTTGGTAGGGAAGGTTTGCTTTGTTTTTTTTTATTTCTGTTCTAGGTTAGACAGTTTTTAAACCCTTAATTTGTTCATCTTATTTTTTGTTCATCTTTTTCATCTTATAAAATGACCAAATAAGTCATGTATTGCAAGTGTTTGATAGAATGACCCAATAAAATTTAACAGTAATTTCATTTCAAAGTGCCCAAATTTTGGTCGCCTTAGAGTGCTTTTATTTAATAAAAAAAGAGTGGGTTGGAACAACATGTTCGCATGTTAATGATATGAAAGAAAGTGGAATGGTTTCTTAATAATTTGATTTTTTAATTCTGCGTTATTAAAGATTGGACTTTTTCTCACTTCCTTCTGGACATGTTGATTGCTACTTGCATATTTTGAAAACCATGTCGTATTTGTGATGTATATTAGAATATGTTTGAATCTCGCATTTTTTGTGTGTGTGTGTTGGTATTTTGATAAATTAAAAGACTCTTTCGATGAATTATAAGTTGAAATTAAAACTATCAAGGGTTGATGTCAGAACTAAGTGGCTTTCTTCCAAAATCTTGATCCTGATTTCATTAGAAAAACTTGGTTAACTGTTAATCTCCTTAAAATTGCAAAAATCTTGATCTAACACCATGTAGTAATGATTAAAAAGATTATGTATTGTTGTGTACTGAAAATCTATGATAGCATGTTTTAGAGTATGTTTTTCTCAACTATTAGGGATGTATCTTTATGTTTACAAACAACTTGAACACCTGGGACATTTATGTTTTTCTCAACTATTTGGGTATTTGGATTGATTACTGAATAATTGTGTTTTTTGTTTTTTGCTACTATTTTCTTTTCTCTTCTTTCTTTCCTTTCTTTTACAATGTGAACCGTTAGATTGATTCAATCCAACGGCTAAAAAATGTCCAAGAGGCAAATACATTTTCAATGGTGGATTTACAATGGTGAGGAAAAAAATGTCCAATAGACCAATACATTTTCTGATTAGGTTTCTTCTTCCCTTCCATCTCTCTCTCTCTCTCTCTCTCTCTCTCTCTCTCTCATTCAAAATTTAAAAGTGAGTTGTCTCCATCATCTTACTCTCAGAGCTCACTCTTCATCTTCAATCTCCCCCGAAACATAGTAGATCGGCGACTTCGCAGGGGTGCTAATCGGCAACTTCGCATTGGAGAGTTTGTTGGGTGCTAATCGGCGACATCGCGGCAACAAATCAGTGAGGTTCTCCAAAATCTTTTGTTTGAGGTTCTCCAGAATCTGTAAATTAATAATAGTTGCACTTTATAACATTACCAATTTTTTTTGAGCGTCTCTGTAAGCCAATAAAGTTGTATCTGATCATATTATGTTTGATGGTAATTTTATGTGATTAGGCTGCAGAAGCTTTGATTGTGTGATGGTAATTTTGTGTCTGTCAAAAGATGGATTTCCACAGGTACTTTTGAAGCTTTGTTCTAGAACAAAACTTATAGATGATGTATTGCAAAACTTATCCTAAAACTTTTGACAGATTTTTGAAACAGATTCAAATTAAAAATGCTTCCTACCCCCACTGGGGGTCGACTCCCAGTGAGGTGTCACTCCGGGATTGGCCCAAAAAAAATTTTTTTTTTTTTTTTTTTTTGGAGTTTTCAGCTAGTGGGGGCGCGCCACGTCACTGGGGGCGCGACCCCCCACTGGGGTATGCAGCGCTGTTGAATTTTTTTTTTCTATCAAACTGTTTAGTAATTCTCCCTTTTATTTTTTTGACTTGGCTTTAAACTAAAAGATGATTAATTAAATAAAAAAATAATTAGAAGTACTCACTATATGGGTTGGGAGCTAAATTAGCCAATAAAGACAAAACAAGTTATTTTCGTCAATAAGACAAATGTCACATTCAAATCATAATCATTTCATTTTTTCTCTTACAACTATCAAATCAACCACAAAAAAAGTCTATCATCAATCCAAACACAATTTTTTTAGCTAGGCTAAAAAAATTTATCCAAAGGAAGGCAAAATCAAAATGAAGAATTGAATCCGCCATTTCCAAACTAGGCATGCTGTCTTGCAAAAGTCTTAAAACAGTTTACACTCATGTAAGGTATTTGACACATAAAAAAATAAAATAAATAAAAAAGAATAACACAAGACTTTTTATTTGAATTTAAATCAGAATACATTAAATTTAATAGAGTTTCATTCAAATCAAAATACAATTTTCCTTAATATTATTATATATTTTATTCTTTTTTTATTTTTTCTCTCCTATTTTCAATACACTTTTTTCTTAAATTTCAATATTAAACAATGTTCTAAAACACTCGTTAAAACAATACACCATTTTAATTGTTTTCAGACACGGTTTACATTATCTTCCAACACTAGTGGTGAACCTGCACAGAGACTGCAGGGGGCCATGGTTCCCTCCAACATTTTAAATTAACATTACCTCTATATTTCGTGTATATTTGTATAATGTATAAAGGGAAGGGGTGACCTCTAATTTTAGGAAAATTATTTTAATAACTTTCTATTTTATTAATATTTCATAATGTTGTTGGCTTTTTTGGCTTTCGAAGGTTATTATTGTAATTTTGAGCGTGCCAGCAAGGATCAATAAATCCTTACAGAATATTAATTGTTAACTAATTATCAGACGATTGTGTTCTAATTCTTTTACCCTCAATGAAGAGGACTTTTACTGGTGACTTTATTTAGGAGAATTAAGCAAACAATGATTAAATGAAGAACAATTGTAGCATTTCATTAAGTAAAATAGAAGACTTACAAAGATCCAAATTAGCCTCGTAGAGATTTACAGCAACAAACTACTTGAAACTACTCCTATAAACGAAGTGCAGTGCAAGAATTTAAAGTACAGAAATGTAAAGAACAAGAAATGTAAAAACTGGAAAGAAAAATAAAGTAGATAAAACTAGTTTTTTGGATCTGAGTCTGGGAGGTCTTTCTAGCCCTTTTCTGCTATTTATACTGCTCAATGACAACCGTCGAAATGAACTTCTAACTATCAAACCACCCCTCCATGATCGCTGATGTTTCCTTACAGTTAGCTCCACTATGCCATATCTGCAGTTAGACTTCCCTCTTGATTTCGAATTTAAATATATGTATAACTGTTAAAGGCACGTCATCTTGTATCTCTTTGCTGATCCTGTGCTACGCAGATCTTTAATAACCAATACTAACTGTCACGTGTACGATTACGATTGAAGATTTGAATTATCTTCCCGTATTGCCCTCATCCTGCCACGTGTCGAACTGTGATTGGCCTATACAAAATATGTAGCCAACATTACCCCCCGTACTAATATACCCAATACTTGGTGATATTAGTGGATCGAGATGTTTTACCCATGTCTTAGACCGTGCATGGGCTTTGCACTTTTCAGAAATGCAACCGTCATTTATCAATGAAACATTTGCATTAAATTCTCTTCTATCATTTGATCATCCCCACTATCTCAGTATTCGAAAAGACTGATACATCTTTCATGGCCAAGCAAGTCTTTTCTTACATTGATCAAGTATACAAAGAGTTAGTTGATAATGTTGTTCATTCTCGAAGGAACCTTCATGAATTGATTAGCCACCTTTATCCGCCTCAATTTATACAAGTTATGGAAGTTTTCGCAAATCATTGACATTCGAACCAAGAACCTACTGCTTACGATTCTTTGGAACACAAATTTGAGACCATGGATATCGGAAGCTCTTCTTCTGCAACAAAGCCATCCGCGTGGGACAAAGCTGTTGCTTCTTCTTCTTCTACGACCTCTGACTGGGAAACTTGGCCTACCCCTACTCAACCTCAAACGAGGGAATGCATTCATTATCGTTTCCCTGAATTCGATGACCCTCTTGAAATCCCCTTGATGAGTATGAAGCCTTCAGGAGCCAGGATTCTGAGTATGGGGAGGATGTTGTTATAAACGAAGTGCATGAAGAAGAGGAGATGGACGCCATAGATAAAGCTCTAAAACAGATAGAATTCGAAGTGAAGGCTCAACAACTCTCTTCTCAATTGAGGGCTTACCAATTAGATAAACCAAACCTGGACAAGATAGAGGATAGAGTAGGAAAAGAGTATTCATTTATTGAATTTTGTTGGACTAAATTCCATGACCTTGTAACTTTCTCCATTCTATATTTCTATGAAATCGAGAATGTAATCAAATGAATCCCAGTGTAAACAGTACTTATCAATAAAACTGGGCTTTCCGAATTTCATTTATCAGATTTTGATTTACCACTCCAATTGTAAACTGCGTGGTTGATGTGCTTTAACTCCATCCCAACTCAAACTCTTTCAAAGTGTGAAATCTTCTCTTTTGAGAAAACAATTATTGCCTTACATACCAATTCTAGGACTAACATAATTCTTCAGCTATCAGCTTCGAATTAACCAACTTTGTTCTTCGAAACTTGATTTGATCATATTCAATTCCCCAACATATGGTTAATACAATCAAGTAATTTCGAATCATCTAATTTTATTATTTTTTTTGTTTCAAACAAACAGTCTACATTTTCCAAAATATGGAAACCTCTTTTAAGGACTGCATTGTTTTATTATAAAAAAAAGTGATTTCTTCTGTATATTATCAAACCAACTATTGGTTTGAAACTTAGAACAAACAATTTCTAGCCTTAAGGTATTTCAAGTTTTGCTTCGAAGGATTTTACTCTCACTAAGAAACCTAAAAATAGGTCTTTAATCCTTTTGAAGTAAACAAATACTTGAGCATTCTTGCATCCTTAGGTGTGGAATGTGCTTCGAAGTCGACTTCCAGCCTTCGAAGCTGTTTGTTATCTGATTTTGGTGCCAAAATTTGGCTTCGAAGCCAAATATTTTATTTCGAAGCTGACATCAGTATTTGAGATGCATTTCCCTCCATAACTATCAATATTGAAGGAAACTTTTTGCATTTGTACCTTTAGTACTTCTTTATGAATTCCATGATTGGGTATATTTTCAGACACAAAGGTTTATTTCATGCTTTGAATTCACTCGTTTGCCTAACACATAAACCCTTCATCTTCTGTTGGCTTTCTCTTTCCTTTTACTCTCTATCAATGGCTTCTTCTTCCTTGAAAATACTAGTTGTGGAGCATGTGAGTCCATCTGTAGCCTTGAAAAGGATCATTGATGAAGAGAAGTACAAGGCTAGTGGGAAAAGTGCCATTGACGGACGCATCTTCATTCCTTGTCGTCATGAGTAGCAAGTGTATGTGCTTGGGCCCATCTTCATGGAGATTCCTACTAAGCTTCCAGCTCTGTATCTACGTCTAGAAGATCATTGTCTCCTTTACGAAGGTGGTCTTGACTGGGGAAGTTGGAGGATGAACCGCCCCCATCATTACTGGCCCACGGTGAGACCAGAGTGGGAGGAATGGTATGATCGGGTCGTCCCTGATAGGACTCTCGATCTTCAGGAGCTCTGCCTCTTCGACGCCCTCCAATTATCCAGGTTCACCATTTCGGAGGACCCTTTTTTAATACCTGTTACCCTTTGTTTTTGGAATTCTGTTTTTTATTTCTTTCAATTCAGATGTGGAATGATGGCTCCTACTGTTCTTGACATATGCCATCTATTAGGGTTGTCCCCTACTGGTACCCCCATTGGTCTAGACTATCCTGACCTCAAAACCTCTTTCCCCCCCTCCCCTCTCTTAACTCATCCTGTAGTGACTTTGTCAAGGCTGAGAATAAAAGAGAGGGCCTTGTGAGTGATAGGGAATTCTTTTCTTTTATATTATATTGGCTTTGCAAGTTCCTCTTCTGCACTTCTTCTCAAATGATCATGCCTGAATTTGCCCTTCTCGCCAAAGCCCTTGTCTTACAAAGAAAGGTGGCCTTAGCTTCATACGTTCTAGGTCATGTTTATAGAGCTTGTTTCCCCTTTTTTTGTGAAAAACCCTTGGATGCCAATCAGGGAGGTCCATTTTGGATACTTCAACTTTGGCTTTTTGCAATTTTACCGAGTTACAATCTAAATGCCTAAAGTTTTTGAAGCCAAACCCTACTACTCATGGCATGAAGTTAGCCAATGTTTCACTACATCCTTCTAACTTTGCTTTTTACTTTTCTTTCTTCCACCAACTCCTAACTTCCCCTTCTTCTCACAGCTTCCGTCCCTTCAAACCTACCAATATTGGCCCATCCTGGTTGAGGACCTTTTTGAGTGATAGGTCCTGCTCTACACCCCAACACAAAAACATGTGGGCCTCTATTCTGATTCCCATAGCATTATTCATTGGGACTAGAAACCCTAGAGCTTACAAATGCATTGCTGAGCCCTATTGTCCTGCCCAATTTGCTAGGCAATTTGGCTTCTCACAAGGGGTCCCAATACCTCTCTGC